CAGTTGGAATATCCGATGGAAAATGTAAAAATTAGACAAGAAATTTGTGATTATATTTTATAGAACAACTGTTAAGCAAATGTTTTAACTCATGTCTCCGAAATATAACAGTATTTCTAGCAAATATTTATCTCCATCCAGCTTATCTTCCTTACAGGATGTCGTACTTAGGCTGTCATACCATAAAAACGTTTATCACACAGCTCACATTATATTATATCTCCATTCATAAATTTATTAATGTCATTTAGACTTAAACGACGCCATGTTTGTTATGTGCCTCTGTTGTCTAATCTACTTATTTAAAAGGAAGTGGTACAAGAGAGATAGAAGATCTTTCAAATGCAAAAAAACAGAAATGGACCTCTTCTGGCTCACTACCGACGAAAAAAAACACGCTCAAGCGGAGAGGTCAATGACAAACACCATCTACAGGTAGATGGCACTAGTATGGATACACACATGTACTTACGGGACACTTGAAATACGCCACTTGGCTAGTGCTCCATACCAGCCATTATTATCAAGGTTTCGATTCATCGATTTTAAATGGGCAGATTAACAAGACCATCTGATTGAATTCCTTGAACGATGTAACTCTTTCCATCATTTATTTGAATTTACATACGAAACATCGAAGGGAAAAAATAACTTCCTTGAAACTACGAGTTACATCCAGAACGGAACGATGATAACGGATCTCCACACGTAGAAAACAGACAAACATCAATTTCTCTCTCCAAAAAATTGCCATCCCAAACACTGCTCCCGTGGTATCCCTTTCAGTCAGGTGTTGCGAATCAAGAGAAAATGCTGAACTGAAAATAAGGAAAATGTAACACTTGAACAACTGATACGGCTTTCGAAAAAGCCAACAGAATTGACCGCAAAGAACTTCTGGAGTACAAGGGGATAAGAATTAAGGAGCCAACAGAACACCTCTTAATTGTACTCACTTAACATCCTGATTTCAAAAATGTGTCGTAGCACTAACACAACAATGTATACATACTTCGTCTGAAATTAAGCCGAACAATGATAGACCTATAAATTTACTACCAAATATTTATCTCCATCCAGCTTATTGTCGTTACAGGGATGCCGTACAAAGGCTGCCATACCATAAAAACGCTTATCACTTCATAAATTTATTGATGTCATTTAGACTTAAATGACGCCATGTTTGTTTTGTGTGTGCCTCTCTATATATAGAACTAACAGAAAAAGCTTTAACAAGCTTATAGCAACACAAACCCCAATCAAAACAGGGCGTGATTCGTAAGGGTACCCATATTCTGTTTCGGATGTACTCTCCACTATAGTATACAGATGGAAAGATTATCCCTTGGATATACTATCCCTCCGATATACTTTCTACTATAGTATACAGATGGAAAGACTATCCCGCGGATGTACTCTCCACTATAGTATACAGATGGAAAGACATTCCCACGGATGTACTCTTCACTATAGCATACAGATTAGAAGAACTATCCCTCGGATTTACTCTTCACTATAGTATACAGAGACTATCCCTCGGATGTACTCTCCACTATAGTATACACATGGAAAAGACTATCCCTCGGATGTACTCTTCACTATAGTATACAGAGACTATCCCTCGGATATACTCTCCACTATAGTGTACAGAGACTATCCCTCGGATATACTCTCCACTATAGTATACAGATGGAAAACACTATCCCTCTTTTACAAAGTCTGCTTAAATTAGAAAGTTAAACATTCTATAATATTAGAAAAGGTATGCTTGTTAAGCAGAGATTTCAACACATTAGTTATACATTGTATATGTCTTGTAAAAAAGGTTATTACTGCTATATCAAATATTACTGTATTTGTATCTAATCTGTTTACATTATTGATGTTTGTTTAGAACAGATAACATGATTATATTTATTTATAAATCATACAAAAACTTACTCCTGTAAAATCTATTGGTATACATATGCATACTATAGGCATGTTTTCACTCCAACTATTAGTAGTTTTCTTCATACAGGGATGTTATTGTGTCCAGTTAAACGATTTTTATCCTTACGGAAAGTCGCACGGAGACCATAGAGTACCTACCAACGACGACGGCAGCTCTATTCGAGTACCCATTAGTACATCGTTTCCATATTTTAATCAAGTATTTAGATCTCTTTACGTAAGTAATAATTGAACGTTTATTTCTTCTGGTAACCACATGCACCGGAATAATGTATCAAATATTTTTAGAATATAGCAAAGTGCTCTCGACCAATGAAATTGTAGGATTTGCTGTCTCTTAATTGTGAAGAATTAATGTAAATCATGTTCTTAGTAAGGGATTATCCTATTATTTGGGTCTATTTACAGTTCAAAACAAAGAGTTTCTATATATGAGTTAAAACTGCCCCGAAGCACATTTATCAGATTGAAAGGATTTATCACAGTGATTGAAACTGACTAAAAGTTGAATTGTGAAACAAACAAAAAATCAAAATATGTTGAAGTTTACTGGTGCAGTAAAATTTGTACCTTTAATGTTATAATGAAAATATTAATAACTTCAAATTATTAAAAAATTAAACAATATCAATTAAAGCAATGCAAAAAAATATAAAAAAATAACCTAAATCTTTAGCTTTCCAAAACTCTGATTACTGAACCAGCGGTTGGGAAGAATAATTATTTCCAATATTCCGATAAAATAAAAAAAAACAACAGGAATTTGATTTATGTTTTGAATATATTTAAAACTTTTAAAGGCATTTTATTTGATTATTTCTCTGACATTATGAAATAGTATTTGATTTAAAAAGCCGGACCAAAATATTGGCTGTGAAATAAAATTAGTTGTAACTCAAATGTATTTATTGATTTAAACTGTAAATACAAAAAGGACAATTCCTCACTAAAATATTACATGACTTACATTCATACTCACAATCAAGAAACATATACAATTCCTACCATTTCTTTGTACTGTTGTGTCACCTAATGTATATAACGCATTTTTTAATATTTCCTAAATTATAAGAAAGTCCTTACACCACAACAAACTAATCCATAAATGAAATGCCTAAAAAATGAAGTCATGCATCAATTCTAAACATTACACTGACAATGAAACTATAAATTCTTGAATACAACCAATCAAGAGATCATTTGAGCCTTGAGCACTTTACAATATTCTAAGTTTGTAAGAGAATGATAATCCCTTACTTCATGATAAGTACTCGCTAACGCTCGTACTTAATCATGAAGAAAGGGATTATCATTCTCTTACATATACGATGACCATCTCTGCAAGATACTCAAATCTTTTTTTTATAATTAATTGTTACTTGTTCATTGATTGACAGGCATTCACATTATATTATCTATTCTGGAACATAATGAAACAAGTGAGATAAAAAAGAAAGCATACGGTGCTTGAATCTTCCTTAACGTTGATTGAATTATCATTCTCTTACATATACATAGTTGTCAGGTGACTCGATCCTTTATTTCATTTATAGTCCAGTGCGATTTAGTCACGAAAACAAGAAAACGCTTTCTTAAGTACTTTAGTGCACACATTTAAACTCGACTTTATCAATCAAAAATAGACAACTTAGTATCTTTAATTTCTGGTCTTCCAATGCAAATTCCAGTTTCCGTTCAATCAAGGTGAAATATCAAGGATATGGATTACTAAAGGGTTTAAAAATAAAACAAAAAATAGTTTGGGTTTTGTATGAAAAAGTTATCCCAGCACATAATTATGTGAACCGTATAAAAAAGGATACAACAGTTCCCAATCAAGGTAATACCAAAAGGCAAAAAACCATTTTCGACCAGTAATTACGGTCAACATTATGATAATGGTCAAATGTTAAATATTTCTCGTGGGATTAACTTATATATGGTCACACTAATAAAAATCTCTCGAATCTCCTTGGAATTAACGTTTGGTATGGCCACCCTTATATAAATCTCTCAGATCCATCAAAATATAAGTACTGTCATCATCATAGATCATTTGGATGGACGTTATTGAATCTTGTAACATTTATCCAAAATACCGCCTGTATAAAAAGGAGTCTCTCTATATAATTAAATAGATTGTGTGTTTTACGTCAATGAGACAGCAATACACAGACATAAACAGCCAATATAGATATCGACAGGCCAACATCAAGTCTAATACAATAAACAGACATAAAAAGCCAGTCGACAGGCCAACATCAAGTCTAACACAATACACAGACATTTGCAGCCATTATAGATATCGACAAGCCAATACCAAGTCTAATACAATACACAGACATAAACAGCCAATATAGAAATCGACAGGCCAACATCAAGTCTAATACAATAGACAAGGGTCTAAACAATGTCATAAGCTTTAAATCGCTCCTAGTCTACAAGAGGGGTTTGAATGAAATTAACAGATAATATCAGAGATCTGCAATCATCATTAAATTATCGAAGATTTGAATATTATGTATCATCTATAATGAATTATAACTGACATTAAAACACTGTAAAGTGAAGTAATATTTAGGTTTGGTCAATAACGTATCGACAACGTTAAATCTGTTTGGTCAACCTTACCTACCAATTTACACTTATCACCGGGTTTGTACTTACAAGAGCAACACGACGGGTGCCACATGTGGAGCAGGATCTGCTTACTTTCTGGAGCACCTGAGAAAAACCCCCAGTTTTTGGTGGGGTTCTTTTTGCTCTGTGTTGTGTTTTGCGTATTGTTGTTTGTCTCTTTGTTTTTTTTCTTTTTAAGCCATGACATTGTCAGTTTATTTTCGACTTATGAGTTTGAATGTCCCTTTGTTACCTTTTGCCTCTCTTTTGTCTCTTAAAGGAGAGGTGGAAGATACCAAAGGGAGATTTTAACTCATAAGTGGAAGACAAAAGGAAAAAGTCATGGGAAAAACGACAAAAAGACAAAAAGACAAACAACAGTCATCCGAACACAACAGAGAAAACTTAAGAATGATCAGAACGATTAAATGTGTGAATATGTTCTAAATAAGGCAGTACTAGGTGAATGAATACGAACAAGCAGTATCTTACATATCATAAAATTGTTATCACCTTTGGAGTAAAATTCAGAACAATAGGTATACTAACTTTTCTGGTTCGTGTAATGTTCATCAAACCTTTGTTCTCAGAAATCATTTTGATGATTGGTATAATGATTAACTTAGGTTCTCGACTGTGGTTCTATCTTATAGGTTCCTCAACAAATTTTCGACAAATATGGTTCTTTCTTTTTCTACAATGGTTCTATCTAAAAGGTTTATGGCTTTATCTCAAATGTTTCTCGACAATCGACAATGGTTATATCTCAAAAGTTTCTCGGCAATGATTCTATCTCAAAGGTTTATGATTTCATCTCATATGTTTCTCGACAATGGTTCTTTGTCAATAGTTTCTAGACAACGGTTCTATCTCAAAGGTTTCTCGACAAAGGTTCTTACATGCAAATTTTGTTTTAAATCCAAACGTTATTCTTTACACAAACATTTGCAAATACATTCTAGGTGAACACAAATGGGGCAATTTCTTTTGATGAGACACTCAGCACGTATACACCTAGTGCTTTCCCTCTGAACGGAAACAAAAAGATTGTTGCACCCTTTTGGTGTGACATTGATACAACGAACGGAGGTGATGTATGGTATTATGAAACAAACAATCAAGATGTGTTGTTCAAAGCTACAGATGATATTCAAAAGATATTCCCTGAACAGACAAATTTCCGTGCTGCATGGGTGTTTGTAGCTACATGGGATCACGTTGCTTTCTATGGAGCAAGTAGTACAGGACAACGAAAGGTAATTGATAATGAAATACTGATTTGTATTTGAAAGCCTTTTTTCTTTATTAATAGTGTTTCTCTTTAATTGCCATGACGTACAAGGTTCTTTATCGAGAACAAGCATTATAATATATCATAATAATAGTGATCTATAGCAGTCAGTTACATGAGCATGAACATGTATTTCTTGGTATAAGCTGTTTTGCTCCGTTCACGATTTACTTTCAAATTAAGTTATGAAATCAAGACCCTATTCTGATATCAGCAGTATTTGAAATGAAATTGTGCTAGCCTAAGAAAATCAGGTCGCATGTTATGGTCTTGCACCTTTAGTATTAAAGATTTTTTACCAAGAACAGACAGGCGCACTGAAGATATACGCTGTGAAATGTTCATCTAATTATATAATTATTATATATAAGAACTTTAAAAAATATAATGTTGTCTGATATAGAACCAAACCAAAAACTAACAGTTTATGTATTTTATTTGACATTGAAATCACTTTGGTGTACTTTGTGTCAGTTTATGGTGTACTTGGTGTCAGTTCATAGTAAACACGCACTTTATTATATGTGACATTGATTTCAGTGAAATTACTTTGTGTACTTAGCGTCAGTTTATAGTTAAAAAGCTCTACATGTTATGTGATATTGATTCCAGTGAAATTACATGGTGTACTTGGTGTCAGTTCATAGTAAACACGCACTCCATTGTATGTAACATTGATTCCAGTGAAATTACTTTGTGTACTTGGTGTCAGTTCATAGTAAACACGCACTTCATTGTATGTAACATTGATTCCAGTGAAATTACTATGTGTACTTGGTGTCAGTTCATAGTTAACAAGCACTACATTGTATGTAACATTGATTCCAGTGAAATTACTATGTGTACTTGGTGTCAGTTCATAGTTAACAAGCACTACATTGTATGTAACATTGATTCCAGTGAAATTACTATGTGTACTTGGTGTCAGTTCATAGTTAACAAGCACTACATTGTATGTAACATCGATTCCAGTGAAATTACTATGTGTACTTGGTGTCAGTTAATAGTTAACAAGCACTACATTGTATGTAACATCGATTCCAGTGAAATTACTATGTGTACTTGGTGTCAGTTCATAGTTAACAAGCACTTCATTGTATGTAACATTGATTCCAGTTAAATTACTTTGTGTAATTGGTGTCAGTTCATAGTTAACAAGCACTACATTGTGCGTAAGATTGGTTTCAGCGAAATACTTTTGTGTACTTGGTGTCAACTGATAATAAACAAGCACTCCGTTTGATATAACATTAACATTGATTCAAGCGAAATTACTTTGGTTTACTTTGTGTCAGTTTATGGTTAATATGTCGCCCATTGGTTTATATATTATGATTCAGAATTTTTCATGTAATTCTTTGCAGAGAAATACATTCCAGTGTATTCTAATAACTAATGGAAGACATTCATTTGCTATCTTTCTGTACAACAAAATAGAATGGACGACTGGCAGTATGAGCGGTGGTAATGCAAATACTGGTTTAGGAGGAACTCCAGCACAGGTATGTTAAATAGAAATTAATAAGACGCTCGGCATGGCCAGTCAGGGTAATTCAAATACTAGTCTAGTAAGACATAAAACACCGATGTATAAAAGAAGAACAGACGACCGACACTGCCACTGAAGGTCATGCTGATACCGACTTTTAGTAAACCCAATATCGGTCTAGAAGGAACTTCAGGAAAGGTATATTCAGTAAAATGGACAATCGACATTTCCAGTCAAAGTCATACAGATACTGATCTATGCTGATTTCAAGGACAGGTATATTCAGTAGAATCGACTATCGGCACGTTCAGCAAAGGTACGCAGAAACTGGTCTTGTAGGAACTTCAGGACAAGTATGTTTAGTAGTTACGTTCGGTGTGTATAATGCGGATCCCGTTCTAGGAAGCTAACCAACACAAGTATAGAATGGTACTAATGCAGACACTTGACTAGGTGGAATTAGATGATAATATAAAAACTTTTTTTTTCAATCACCAAAGGGAAAGACAAACTCATAAGTTAAAAACGAACAAAAATTGAAAAAAAAATGTCAATCTAAAATGAAAAGAAAAAATGTAAAAATTGATAATATTAATAGTAAATGACTAAACCAAAATATGGTATAAATAATAATTATATAATACTATGAATTTGATCATTTATATTCTGATAATATTCAATAAATTTGGAAACAGGCATGCGCCGGGAATTAAAAATCAGTATGTTGATGGGTTTCTGTAATTGAAGCAGAAAAAGAAGAAGATTAATTGGCGGGGTGGTATATATATAAGTAGCCTGTCAACACTAAGGTTGTAAGTTCGAACCCGCATGTAGCAGGTAGGTTCGATTCCAATCTTAATTGACTAGGATTATCAATTTTCCTGCCGATGCTGGACCGGTGGTTCTCTCCGGTTATTTCGTCTTCCTCCATCAATAAAAACTGACATCCACAAAATGACTAATAGTGCTGAAAGAGGGGTTAAACACCAAAAAAGCAATCAATCAATCATCTTATAAAACAGCTTTCAATTTTGAAATAAACATTGTTGATTACATACGACATTTATTTCTGAAATAGAAGAAAGAACCTAAGTTGTGTGAGCAAAACATTTGATACGTGTGAGAACTTCATAACCTTGAACAAATGTCACATGAAAAAGGTATTTATTTATCGAACATCTTTTAGCATTTACTTTTAAAAAGTATCGTGATTCTTTAGTTTCATTTGCCATTAGTTTTTTTTTATGAAACAGTCTCGCATCTTTTCAACGCTAGGTTGGCTTTGATGCAGGCGACGGTCATAATTATATGGCAATACGTGAATCAAGAACTCCGGCTGTTAAACAGGTAGCAAGCCTTAGTAATGTCAAAATAGAAGGAAAGTTTGTATACCGAACTGACACAGAGACAGTTAAAGATGGAGGGTGTACCACACATACAGGAGGTATTTACTAGCAGTATAATTTGTGATAAATGAACTAAATGCAAACTTACAAAGAAAATCATTCAAATATAATTAGAATAATTTTTATATGCATATACGAAAAATAAACAATACATGTAGATGTACTACGGGCAAAACTCATAAAATGATACTCTGTCCCCCATATATAAATCGATTGCAAATCTTATGATTTGTCTATGGAAACCCAAAAAATATTTCGGATAAAAAACAAAATAAGAGATGCACAATGGTATTTGATGACTATTCTTATATTGTTTCAATAAAATATGATTAGGGGTATAGGAGGAATTACAGATAAATGGCAGAGTTCATGATTTGCGTAGGAAAGCACCCTCATCACATCCCCATTCACACGTGATACAAATTAGAGTATGAAAAAGTTTCATTAAATTCTGATATAGATTTTCGGAGTAGAAGCAGATACAAAATGTATGCGAATATGACAAAATTCATTCCATTTCAAAGCAGACTCCTAAGTCGTTCGGTTGAAGAAATGAATAAGAGGTGGCAAGTACATTATGATAGTAAGTATCTTTGAAAGTTTTACAAATTCCGTCAAGAAGTTCATTTAAATTAGCGGAAACAAAATTGAACGGAAGTACAAACAGACGGACAAACCAATCACAATAAACCACCAACTTCAAAATGCAGTGCGTAAAAAATACAAATATGCACTGTTTTTCTTCTACATGTTCTGAGTTCAAGTTTTAATTGATGTAGAAACTCAAAGATTATATAAATCTATAAATCTACACATTTTTTACAATTCAACTATACTATCTTCGGTTAAGACGATATGATAAAATTCAAAGATATAAACAAATAACTCCTTTATTTATCAGTTTAGTACAATAATGTGTTATATGTTTTTTATCTTTCTTTTTTTTCAAAATTACACATGAACATTTTTAGTGAAATAAAGTGCCGTAAAGTTTTTGACACAGTCTAGATTAAATTTTGCAACCGTCCTGTCTTTATGACGCTGGTCAGGTGAAAAAGAAAAGAAACTTTTCAGATTTCTTGTAAAATATTTAGACCCCTCTAGAATTTGTGTAAATCAGTAGACCTCTGTTGTGAAACAAAATAACTCATCAGAGATACGGTCGTTAAATGTTTGCTAAATGTACAAGTTAGCTTGGAAACATAAGTTATGAGATTAGATCAGTTCAACACTAAACATTTGTTTTCAATCCAGGCTAAACGAAGTACAGGATCATTACAATGGTTGTAATAATGGGGAAAAATATGAAAATATTCTGACTATAACTCCCCACAAATAGCTGAACTGAAAGCTGAAACTGAAAATCACAAGTTTGGGCTATGTATTTGCTTTAAAGATTACAGAAGACACCAAACATTTCTCGTTTTAAACATACAGTAAATATTTCTGTAGTTATGACTTGTATTATTACGGGGACGTTAGGAAGTCGTTAACAATTTCGAATCATAACGTATTTAGTTTTTCTGAAGGTTCAATATTATTAAGATGTCTAAGATAAACTAACTTTTGTTAATGCAGTATGTCTCCATTGTCAGCTATGATCGATTTAATAACTGCACTTCAAAGTAATCTGAAATCAAACAGAAATTCGCGATTTTTTTTATCAATCTGGATGTTAACAATATCTTGCATGACAAGTTTTATTATTCTTTTTTTATTAGATGTTCTTCCTACTATTTTACAGATGGTAACTACTAGTATATGCTCCGTTAAGGACTATCGATATTCTTCTGCTAAACAGTGATTTTCATGTGCAAAATGAATTTTGTTTACAACCACTTATGTTACTCCTCTGTTTATAGTAATTATTTGTGTTTACAGGAAAACTGACAATATTCCCTCGATATGTGACGATGTTTGGTGGTACAGTCTTGTCAATAGGAGGTCCATGTGCAGATCCTACTGACAAGATATCTATTATGTTTAGAAACAAGCCTGAGGTTATAACGTGTACATTTTTTTCCCACACCGCTGTCAGATGCATTACTCCAATGATGTACGAAACAGGTGATGTGAATGTCACATTAACAGTTCTACATACACATAATACATCAGTTTTCACAGGAATATGTACGTTCGGTATGTAACTATTTTAAATAGACATAAGACATCACTGTTTACAGAAATATTTATGTTCGGTAGCCTAAGGGTACTCTAACCTTTAACGATAAGAAATAAATGAAAGAGCATTTTTTTGCTTTCTTCAGGGGCCGAGGTCAGTTTTCAGAACAACAGAGAATAGATGAGGGTATTTCAACGCATCGTTTCGGATAAAAGATATGCGATACCCGTTTCTCAGAGTCTGAATTTAGGTAACATTATCAAACAAGGCCTGTGACGTTTGAGATACTTCCATCGCATATTCAAACCTCGTCTTCTCTAAATTCACTCAACGGCTCAGGGGTTTCGAGAAAACGTTCTCGCTTTGAACTTGGTATGTTATGGATTCGATCCTCGTCGGGATCAAAGCATGGAGTTGAAAATGGGTATGTGCTATTCTTCTCTAGTTATGTGGCATTTATCTAAGTGCAAAACTAGTTGTGAAACGTATGCCTGCTTTAGGAAATGTCATCTGCAAACGGCTACCTTTGAACAAGCACTATTAAAATCCTACCAATCATATCTATTAGGTACAAAGGCTTTATTTCATACGGGATTGCACATCCTCATTTTTACGGCAATATTGTTTACCGTGCCCGGAAATTTAGAAACGATCCTGGTAAACTTATCGATCCTTTAAATAAACTTATTCTAAAAAGGTTACCAATTCAACACTGTAATTAGATCATTAAATATTGTTTTTATTGGTACTAATATTGATTTTGTTATCAGTAAATTAAAAGCAAACTAAATATTGTTGTTATATACATATACACATTCATGGATCTACAATCTGTCGATACCTGTATCTTTGCATTGCACAAGGTCATGTTTTTCTCTGACTGTTTATGACGTCTTTACAGTAATTCTATTGGATGTTGGATGTGTACGGATTGGTAATTTAGTCTTAGATGCATGATTTTTTTATTAGTTGTTAGTGGCTTTGAACTAGCTGCCAGTAACTGCGAGTACTCTCAGATCTGTACTTAGTGTCTTTTTGTTGTTCGGATGTACAAGTACCCAGCCACGTCCACTTGTGTTTGTAGTGTTTGTATTTTTATCCATCTGATGAGTTAAGCCTCTTTCAACTGATTTTTATAGTTCGTTCTTATGTTGTACTGTTACACCACTGTCCCAGGTTAGGGGATGGTTGGGATCCCTCTGGCATGTTTGGCCCCGCCACATTCTGTATGTGTGTGCCTGTCTCGGGTCAGGAGCCTGTAATTCAGTGGTTGTCGTATGTTTATGTGTTACATATTTGTTATTCGTTCATTTTTTGTAAATAAATTAGGCCGTTAGTTTTCTCGTTTGAATTGTTTACATTGTCATTTCGGGGCCTTTTATAGCTGACTGTGCGGTATGGGCTTTGCTCATTGTTGAAGGCCGTACGGTGACCTATAATATCACGCTAGTTCACATGTTCTACTCCTGAATATGCAATTAAGAGCTGCTACTAGCTGTTAAGCAGTCTTCATCTATCTAAATCGACAAGAACTGGTCGTATATGCAAGAGAAACCAATCAGTTGTCGGAACACATAAACAAGAACTCAGACACCACAGAGACAGACTTGAGCAGTCTTATTGTTTTGGTCGAATTAAAAAATACTATTGTGAAATCAAAACGTAGAACCTTTGAGCCGATAGGTCGGTGTTTGAGTGTTAAACACGTGGGGAATGGTGAACACTTCTAACGTCCACTTAGATGTGTATCCTTTTTTTCGAACGTACCGTTCTTTTTAGGCGATACGCACTTTGTCTCAAACCCGAAATCGAAATTTTTGCATGGAGGAATATCCCCATAAAGGTTTCAGTGCACCCAGTTTCCATATTCATTCTGATTTGCTGGCACGGGGTATCTTGATGGACCGTCCTGTGTTCGGCGGTGATCAACGAACACATCGGCAGTCGCATAAAATTCCATTATATTGACAACAAACATATCATAAGTGCACTTAGAATAAGCTAAGAAATACTTAAATATCTACTTCATGGTTGCGATCCAGCATTTGACAACACGACTTTTTTGTGTTCTCGGTAGAGTAAAGTTCAAAGTCATGCTTCCGAAGCAGCTTGTTGGCCTTCTTGTTGTAGAATTTTTGTCCCTTTTACCGTCCACAGTTTTTTGGATACGCGTGACCTCAACACTGTTTGATAGGCAATTCTCACGAATTTTTGTCCTTTAGCGGTACCAGCCAACCGTACTATGAAGCGTTACTGATGTTCAGGATGAAATTGTATCCTTTAGTCTGGAAAACTCCACGAGATCAGCTTCCTTAGTCCGTTCATACCTACAAAAATCACATGTTGTTTAAGGAAATTACGTTGGACGAGTTTGTGCAACTTTTCGGCTATTTCGTCCGACAAACCTTGTTTTTACACTCACCTCACAATGATAGGTTTGACGATGACGTAACCCATTCTCTATTTGACCATAGGGTTATCTTTAAGATTGAGCTCACCGAACATGTCTCAATCAGTGTTGCGTGTGGTCATGTCCCTGTGTTTAGCATAACAGCTCTTTTGATCGATATTAACCAAGGTTTAGGTTTACCATCTGCATTCAAATGGTTGTGTTATCACACACCGGGTCTGGTAAAATTATGTCCTTGCTGATGCATTTCTATGGGCAAACAGTTGACCAGCTTGTTCATGATACTTGCAACTGTGGGAAATCAGACTGTGGTAGGAAGACGTTTTCAAGCAACAAACAGACTCATTTGCTTGCTCGTTTTCAAATTTGAGTGTAGACAAGAGTGTTTACCCAACCATAAGGAAAGAGCATTAATTTTGTTATTGATGCGGTGCAAATGATTTC